GATGCCACCATGGTTGATGGCTAATTAATGTATATAAATGCTATTGATATTAAAATGCAGAAACTGTTTTTGAGACTTATAGAAAAGAAAAGGCAACATATTTAAGCTTAGAATTGTTCAAATTTTGGATGCTCATATTTCAATGATTGACTATAGCTACTATGTTAGAAATTTCAATTAGGGGTTTTTCTTTTCAACAAACTGATCATAACCTAGGCAAAAAGAGAAATGTGAGACGTATGCAAGTTATGAATGAACGGTGTGGCCAACACCTGGATGCGTGATGTGATTGTAAATTTATGAATGCGAATGAATGGAAATGCCTAAATTGCCTTGGATATGATTAGAGATATTTGCATTGCCTTGGATGTTGTTTAAAAAATATCAAAATCACTTTAATAGAGTAAAAAAGAGCATCCAGTTAATGAGTCAATGTCTTAACAGGAAAAATTATGATTTGAGCCCTAGGAGATAGTCAATTAAAAAGTTAGCAAAATTTTATAGCATTAGCTTGGAGATATGAGGAATCTATGATACTATAAAATTTGGCAGATGAGAGGATGTAGGTCTTACTAAAATTTTATGGTTAAAAAAGGACATCTAGAAAATAAGGGTTGATACATGATTTTGAGAAGGATTTATGAGAAGCCTCAAAAAAGAGCCAACCTGTTAGATTCACAGCTTGGCAGGTCAGCTAATATGCAAGTGAGGTCTTATCAGCTTGTCAGCCCCAATTCTATAAGGAGATAATGATCCAGATATACCTAAACAACTAACTAGAAAGGTAGACAAGTTCTCCCGCTGGAGAGAAAACAATGCCATGATTACTTTATGCTGCCCTAAAAGAGGAGTGCTGTTTCTATGTTAACCATTCTGGAGTTATTAGGGATTCCATGGCCAACCTCAGAGAAAGACTCAACCATCGGTGAAAGGAACGGGAGTTCCAACAAGGCTGGTTTAAAGGAATCTCCACCCTCTTGGGACCCCTACTTATTCTTTTACTGCTGCTTACTTTTGGGCTATACATTCTTAATCACCTACTCCGATTTATTAAAGAATGCTTATCCATAACCCAAGCCCTAGTTCTTAATCAGCAATATCAGGCTCTCAGGCAATAAGCAGGACCATGGGTTTTAGGATTAAAACCTCACAAAAAAAGATAGGGGAATAAAATATTTTAATTTACCAAAAAAAAAAGTTTTAAAAGATTTTAATTCACAGAGAGAAAAAGTTTCCCACAGGCCTTGGCCCATTACAAGGGAGTTGGCCCCAACCCCGGCCACATCCTATGGTTTAGACGGGGGCAATCGCCAAGACAATCCTCTTTGGGTCACACCTGGAAACAAACAATCAAGGACTTCCCAGGGTACATTCTATGGTTTTTCCTTTGTAGAAAAGCAAGTCACACCTGGGTGACCACTCTAACATGAGATCATACTTTGTAATCAATCACTTTATGTCCCTTGCCTGTATGCTGATCTGTGGTTTTTTTCTGTATAAGGAGCCTGTAACCCTTGTTGGGGTGTGCAGCTTTCCCGATATTGCTGACACCCGAATGCGCATTTGTTCAATGTTTTAGAAAGTATTTTAGAAGAAAACCAAGTATGATACATGTCTCCTACTCCTACAGTTTAATTGATGGTTTCAGAACAATGATTTATGGG